TGAGACCTAAGAAAGGTAATGAGTCTGAATGCCTTCAGTATATTGTTGCTGGCAACCTTTCACTTAGAAGCAATAATAGGAAGTCCTAGGCAGTCTTATCTTATCTTATGGGCAATGCCCCCTTTGCCGTAAAGAGTAGCCATATCCAGTGCGATCTCCTCATACTCAGGCGTCGCCTCTAATCCCATTTCAAAACTCTACAACCGCTCCGGTCACACTGCACCTTAGAGCTTTAACGGGCCTTTAGGCTAAGGATAGATTGCCTGATAGACGAATTCGTCGACCTCCAATGCTCTAATAAGCTATCTTTCTCCCTGGGCTTCTCCGCTAACAACCAGTCCTGCAACCCGACCGGTTGGACAAGAAGAGCTTCCCTTCCTAGTCCTTGATCCTAGTTACTAGCCTTCAAGGCCGACTGCAATTCAAGGTGGTACGAGCTAGTGCGAACTAACTACTTGAATCCACACCTCAATTGTATTCCTTTCCTGACCTTCAATCAAAGGATTCCACCTGGCACCGACAAATCCCATTCTAGCGGGGAAGAACCACCATCCGGAGAAGCTGCATCTTCAATGGGTAGATCCCCTCCAAGCTTGACTCATAGGATGGGGAAAACCAAGCAACGACCAGCTCATTCACCTGAATTTGGTTGGGGCACAGCGGGTATTGAACATCTAAGTGCGAGCCTACCTCCGCTAGTGATCCCTCTTTCCCTGGAACCAATGGTTACGAATCTGCATCGAACTAACGAAAGAACCCCTGACGGAACTGAATTAGACTAAAGTGCGGAACAACCATGCGGAACCATTTCATCTCATTCCTCTTCACCATAAATAGCTCCATCCAAGCCTACGGCAGCTTATTTCCGATCTCTCCCAACCCCGAAGTCAGACCAGTCTGAGCCGAACCGAGACAATGAACGGCGAATCTCAACCTTTTTTGTTTCATCCTCTCTGGGCATCTAGACGGAGAAAGAAGGGACGAGTGTATCCGGGCCATGATCCGATCCATATTTTATCTGTATATTCCGGCAGAGCATATCGATATCGGGATCCCTCCAAGCCGGCTCTGGGACAGCATCAAAAGTCCTTCGTTCCTCCTTGCAATGAGCAGGGACCAGGGAAGATGTATGAGGCTGGTAAGGTAAGTACATCGATTCATCTCTAGCAGCCAGACTTAGGTCATTAAACCCTTATTCCGGTGTCCTTGGATGAGAATCTTTCTATACTATACGCATGCCTTCTGGCACAACACACACCCACTCAGAAGAGCACACCACCCTAATCCCTAAAGAAGAGAGGGAAAGAGCGGAAAAGCTGGTTTGACGTCAACAGTTCTTCCTTGTTCCGACAAAGAGTGTGTTTCCTTATTCTTTTTTAGCTTTGAGCTTGGTTCAGATTGGACACGTCCTCACTCGTTCTTTTTTTTTCAAGATCTTTGAGCCTCATAAGGATTCTTCTAACTGGTCTGTCCCAGTGCTAATAGACCCACTCCAATCTCGGGAACCTTTCCTGAGCTACTAAAATCTTGGAAATCGACTAGCCTTACTTCTTTCGGGGCTCCATCCCTCTTGACTATATAGGTAGGGGCTTAGCTGCTCCTAGTCAGATAAAAGTTCTCTACTGGGCTCTCGGCTACCCTGAACTACTAAAAACCCAGCCTTTGATGTGCTTGCCCAGCCTCTTCCACTAGAAAGAGCTTCTTCTCTTAAGGCTTCTTGCCAGTAGTGAGAAAAACCTTGCTTATCTATCTTTAGAAAGAGGATAGAGACAAAGATAACTAGATCAATGTCTTCCGTCTTCGTCTGCTAGAACCTTCAAGGAAGATGCAAAAGGCAGTACAGATGATAAGAGCATCTTTGCGTCTTCTCGTCTGGATCTATATAGGGGATCGAATGCATTTGAACTCCTTCTATCTAGCGCTCTCAAGCTGAGGTAACTCGAAGCTTTGAATGGCTCCTGCCTAGCTTCCTTCCAGTGATTAGAGTCTTCTGTTTGCTGTTTTTCATCTTGCTATGAGTGCCTTTACCCTTCTCTAAGAAGCCATAGGACTGTGCTATGAGGGAGGAACCCTTAGGTTTGCGGGGCATTGGATTCAATCCAGCCACAGGTTCTCCCTTTCAAGTAGCATAGACAATTTGTCATTGAAAAGAGTAGAATCTTACGCCAAATGTCGTAGATAAATATACTCAGCCGGGAGAATAACTAGCGCCTGTCTCTAGTGATTATACTAGAGGGATCCTTTTTTCTTATTCTGACTAGGGTAAAGGCACTATCGGACATGGGATTTTTTATATAGAAAATACTCCTCGTGTAAATGGAAGTATGTCACATGGGTGTGGCCTGAAATTCATCCATGAACCACTGCTTCTCCATAGAAAATCCACGAATTTGGCCGAGTTGGCTCTAATTCAATGCCTGTCTCCATCGAGAGTTCCCGGATATGCTGGGAATCCTCTCAAGGATGGAGGTGGTCGTCTAAGAACTGCTGGGTCCAGGGT